ACTCAGCAGCAAAACGTCTTGAAGCTAAAAAATAATAATAATGTGACATTTATCCGGATAACAATCCACTGATTTGTTTTCATATTGCTATTATTCCCCCCCACCATCAAAATATGATACAAGTCAGATACAACACCCCCTCAGTTAATCTCATTCTCTTCTTTGCTTTTGTGCTTCTCCATCTTTCAACATCCTCCACAGAGGAAACACAAAGACTGGATATACTTGAGCACATTTCACTGCTTTAAGTAAATATTTGATTGAATGACTCCGTCACTTGTAAAAGAATATTTTGCACAGTGAAGAGCTGTTCAATGTCAGTGCATTTTTTTCTATTTTAATTGATTTGATTTTCATGTTTTGGAAAGAGAAAAAAACCTTTTGCACTTTTACTCTAAAGTATTTCTGTATGTTGGGTTCTGCACTTTGTTTGAAAGGTTTTATACAAAAAAACTTTCACTTATTCTATAAATACATTTGCTGTAGCCGGGACAAATGAATGCCTGTTTTATTTGTTGTTTTATTGCACAAAAGTCCAAGTCTCTTATTTAATTAGTGCAACATCAGTTGTTGTATTATTGTCCAATTACAACCTAGAAATATATTTTTTTAAATGTGTATTTTGTCAGCATATAAAAAACTTCATAATAACATGTGTGTTATGTGTGTGAGTAAGAAATAGTGCATGTGAGTTGGTATGGAAGCTGAAGCATGATTATATTTTTCTCTAGTGTGTGTGTGTGTGTGTGTGTGTGTGTGTGTGTGTGTGTGTGTGTGTGTGTTTCTTCTGTTTCATGTTAAGAGGCTGATTCCTCAAACACACGCACTTCATCATACAGATGTATAAAGATAAATCAAACCTGCATCAATCAGCACAGACTTAATAACAGCAGCAATTGAGGCCAAATGTTTTATAATTAACACTTGTATCAGCACCATATAAAACCATGACCCCTATAAATCCCATTTTAGAGACCAATCAATCCTCCTCTCGGACTAAAGGGTCTATTGATCCCTCACTGCTCGGCTCACTTTAACGCTTTCTACCCTATTTTGTTTTTCTTTCCGGTGAAAAGAGCATTTCGATCGCCCCTTTTATTTTATTGGGGGGAAAGATTCTGCAGACGACTGGAAAATGAAACAGTGACATATTAATTACAGGACACTGATGAAGGGATGTGGGTGATGGTTGACTTACAGGGGCGGTTGTCATCAGACGCAGCTCGGTGGGAACCATAGACTGTCAGTAGGTGGGAACCTTTGGCAACGAGCATGTCCCCCCCGAAATGAAGACGCATCTCCGGACAACACCTGGGTCAATATCCCGGAGAGAGAACCGACACACGACATTATGGAGCGTCACAGTTTTCATTGTGCACATATTATCTCTAAAGGTTACATCGTGGATCATCAATTTACATGCAGCAGAGAACATCTGAGCTGCCGTTTGAACTCACTCTGCAGCAGATGGTTGTACAAGGTATGACGATAATAATAATGATTATAAAACAAAAACGAAAAAAGAGAAATAGGTGTTGCAGCTGCAGTCGTGCACCACAATCTGCAGATTCTCCTGACAGTAAAAACTTGGTTCATGTCCAGAGTGAGCTCATATGAGAACACAGCAGCAGATCCTAGATTCTAAAGCTGCTGTCAGACACGCACTAAGTCACTAAGACATGAAGTTTCTCTGGAGGACGTGCACGTGTGTACGTATGAGTCTCCGGAGTTTCTGCGGGCCTCCTCCGCCTGGCCCTCTGGTACAAAGCTCGCAGAAACTCCGGTGGAGAACACAGCGGGAGATCCCGTGCTTAAATCAACGGAAGCACGGAGGGTTGAGATGTCGAGATTTTGGCGAGAAGAACCGATGCCAGTGTTGATGTGCTGAGAACAAACACACGTGATCTCTGCAGCGGATGGAAGACGTGACATCCTGCCTGATGCTTCACTGTGTGTTGCTGTTGTGAACGTGTCTGAGCAGAGAACCGCCCTGCTGTGCTGTGCATGTGTGAACTGTAGAGAAGTCCGCATCCAACTCTCTGAAGCTCCTCTGCAAGTCAGGTCTGAAAACGGCTTGACACTCACTGAACTCCCTGACATCATCTGAAGGGGCTGGACGTCAGAAAGCAAACGTCCGTGTGACAACTCCATTAGTGGTCCACCTCGCAGGCGTCCAAGGTTTTTGTAAATGTATTAATTAATTAGTTTAATATGCTACAGTAAATGTAACATTAGCAAAATGATGAACGCTGTGGCTGAAGTCACTGAAGGTTTTTCACAGATGCTGTACAACCCTGCAGATTATCAACCTCTGATCAACTTTCTCAAACATGACACTTTTCTGTGGCACCAAGTTCACACAGTTTACAGCCGCTTCTCTTTCCACTGCAGATTCTTATCATAGAAACCAAATACAAGGATAAGCAGCATTCTGACTCGGGAGAGTATTTGTTGTAATATGTCGCAGCGTAAAAAAAAAGGGGTCACATAGCAAAAGAAATATCTGTCACAGCAGGAGGATCAGCGAAGGTGGCCTCGATCACAAGATCATTTCACTCAAGCCGGCTTTCATTTAATGATCAAATACAGTGCGGAATGAATTTCTGCATAATTATACAAAATCAAAGTGTGGACGAGCTTTGAAATCAAACCGGTCCTCCTCCTCCTGCCCTCTGAGATGCCTTTGAAAAAGTCGATAATACACACAACACAACGCGGACGGACTACGGGCTGATCAGGTGCGTGTCAGGGTCCTGAGATGCCTTCATGTTGCACACAGCCACATAATTATGAAATACCCAAGCAGCCTGTCGATAGCTCACATTATAAATAATCTCATACAGGGTGTTTGACTGCAGAACAAAGTGCGAGCAGCGTTAAGGAGGCTGCGAAGGCTACACATCTGTAGAAGCCCCCGAGACAACACACACACATATAACAATACTTTGAATATCTGTATAACGGCATTTAAATGCATTGGCTCGAGTGAATGCAGCTTTCCTCTGGAAACCAAATTCAGGTTTGGTAAGAACGTTCTGTTTGTTTCTCATTCACACGGACGTTTAGCACAAAGTTCGATGGTCCTTGATCGAACGTCAAAGGACAGTGGTGGAAATATTACAAACATTCTGATACTAAATACAAGTTCATTTAACTTCATTATCATACATGTTACAGCTTTAATCTATGAATACATCTGTTCAGAAAGGTTTTAAGGGGCAGAAATCAAAGCATGTACAGTATCTGTGAAGGCCTGAATGGATAGAACTTTTAACTTGTGGCTTCATTCTTGTCTCAATTAAATGTTATTCAATGTGTTTTTTTTGTGAAAATCCTGATGAAGGCCACTAGTTGATAGATGTTCTGGATATTACACGTTTTTATACATTCAGGCTTTCTACACACTTAACAACTTTCCTAATCTGCCTCTGCAGGTCGCAGAAGATGCTCAAGCTCAGAAAATGTTGCTTTAGTCTTTCTAAATGAGCGTAAGGTGACCTGAACTGTAAGATCGCTGGGGCCGATCTGATGTAAAATCTTTTGTGCAGTGCGAGGGGCTGTAGGGGTGAGAAGACCGTGATATTTTCTCCTTTAGGTAAATTCCCTGTATTTTATTTTCAGTTTTTTTCGTTGTGAGGAGAGTGATCGCAAAAACTATAAATTATAAATATTCCCGATGCTGCCGTCACTTAATTGACAGGCCTTTAGCTACGTTGAACTTCAATATTTCTACATTAAAAGGAAAATACCACATAAATAAAACACAGGCGTTATATTCGTTCAGGCTTGTGTTCCGGCTTCTTTGAATCATACTGCGTTTTGAGAAGACTGTCTTCTAAGTTTATTTGTGGACAAATTAAGATTCACCACATTCATCAGTATTATTGTCTCAACATTTTTAACATTAAAAGACTTTAATGAATCCATTTACCCAGTTTCTATTCTCAGGCTCATGGTGGCATTTGTGGAATTGTGAATCATAAACATGAATAATTCAGTGCTACAGTCCAAGGCTCGTCTGGAAATCACCAGGATTAGTTCGAGATCTCGAGGAAGAATTGTGTTTTTGTTAAACGACTACAAGACGCAGATGGTTAGATGGTTTGAAGTTAGAATGGTGTTATCAGGATGTGAATGTTTTACTTCAGCACCTCTAACAAAATCTAACTGACAGTGTTTTAACCTGTGGAAAAGTAAACACGGTCCGTCCTTGATGCTTTATGAGAATAAGACAACTCGTCTTCTTACTGGACTGACACATAGATTAATGATCAAGAACAAGGCTGTTGTTAATTAAAGGTTGACTGAGATTAATTATGAAATGCAAATAGTCAATGAACTCACGACAGCAAGGTGTAACAGGTTTGGCTCATTTGACAGCGACACATTAAAATGCCAAACTGTTAATTAAGCAGCCATAGTTTTTCTATATACTTGTGTCCAGAGTCTTATACTTTTAATAAAAGCCTTAAGATGGATTGATGGACTTTACTCTCAGCTGCCAGTTAATAAGCTGCTTTCAGACACGCACTGAACTCATTTGAGAGAACGCAAATGTCTGATTGGGGTTCCCCTTCCAGCCTCACAGTGAAAACTCTGGATAATGTCCGAATGAGCTCATGTGAGATTCACGGCAAGCGAGTTTCTAATACTCGACAGAAAAAAAACTAAAAGGATACAAACATCTCAGGGGGACAAAGCGTCGCCACACGCGGAGAAGATCCAGACATTGGTGTTGAAGGTCCTGCCTCCTGTGCCCCCCCCCCCACCACATCTCACTGCAGAGATTAAAGATAAACTCCGGAGAACGTCTGGACCAAACTGTGCGGAGATTCTCCAGAGTTCATGTCTGAAAACCGCTTTAAGAACAGAGACGAATGCCGTCCAGCAAGGTTCTAATGAAACGAAGACACACGTGTTGATTCAGATGTACGGGTTCAGGTTCGACCAAATAAAGACACAAATTCACACAACAAATTCTCAAACAAAGCCACGTTGTGTTTAAACATATTTTATTTGTGCAGGTTGGAATATGCGCCAACACTTATAATTACAGAAAAGGCCAAAATCAGCCAGTCAAAAAACAGGAAATAACAGAGAGAGAGTCACGGGAGGTGATCTCTGAAGAAAGCAGACTGAAAGTAAAAAAATAATAAATATTCTCACTGATAAGGCAGATTCGTATTTCAATGAGTACAATGCCAAACAAAAATAAAAATGGGTTTTGGAGCTTATTGTCAGATCTGTTCAGAAACATGAAATGATTTGTATTTTTGGTTTGGTAGCAAGACGACATTAACATTTTGCAGGAGGAAGTGGCCACGAGTCACGACACACTTTAAATTTTCACACTCATTTATTAGTATGTCCCAGATTGTAATGTGTTTAGCTTCAGACACATTTAGGCTAATTTAATGTCAGGTGGCTTTCTGACAGATGTATTAACAGTATGATAGAATATGACTAACCCAAAGTGACAGTTATATGAATATAACAATATATGCAGTAAAATGCAGAGTACATGTTCTATTCATCGTGGATCTATTGGAAAATCTACAATGATGTATTTTAGTAGCAGGAAAATCTTTAAATCTGAAGATCATAAATTATCTGAGTAATATCAATATCGACATTGCACACAGACGTCTTTCCTAAAGTATATTTATTTACACAAACTTGAGAACTTTGCCTCAGTTTCAGTTTCCTGAGGCAAATGACGGCTTAATGAAACACGTAGATACGAGGGAGATCGTGCTGTAAACAAACAAACAGTGTAACTGGAAACACAAACTGAACTGCGGCTGTAACACAGAATGAAATCGGCTGAAATAAACACAATTATAAAAGGAACATTTATTATAAAAAATAATAAACTACTGGATGTGAAGAGGCATTAAAATAAAAAAATACATTTACCGTAGTCTGGGACCGCGGATCAAATAAAAAAAAAGAAAGTGTGTTTTGATGAGTTCTGAGCTCAACCAGTAGAGGGCGCTACAAGGCATTTCAATTCTACGTTATAAAACTTCTTTGACCAATTAAAGGTCATTTCCACTAAGTTGGTGAACTGTGTCCGAATTCCGTCCCACACACAGCTGATACCTCGCACAACAAAATGTGCGTAGACGGATGACGGATAAACTGCGATGACTTCTTTTGGCAAATGAGTCTTTTGAATTGAGTTGGAACTTCCTTCAATTCGACTTTAGGTCCTTAGTTCATTTTAGCTTTATCACACTGATGTTTGCTCGAGTGTTTTCCCATCAGTTTGGTTTTAATAACTTATTTGATGATGATATAAAACACGGTGAAACATCAAAAGATGGCAGCGTCGGCATTCGGAATATTTTTGTTTGATAGAAGGAGCCAGAGACACGTCGGCCATCTTTATTTGCAGTCTACGATGCTTACGTGAATGCACTGTGCAATTAAAACAAGCTTAGAACTGCAGATTACAATCATTTCAAGAGGAAAGCAAATGTTAATTTGCTAATGATAACTATTTCTGTAAATAAGAAAATAGATTTTAAATCCTGCCCCTCTGTAGACTAGGTGATTTAAACTACGAACAACATGGCTGAGGACACGTGTGACGTACAAACGTGTTCTCGGTTGCAGGTGATTTACAGATAAAGGCCGGAGATTAAAATCTACTGTCCATGTGTCAGAGCGGATAAAACCACAACTAACAGGACACTAAAGACACTGCACATCTCATGTATAGTAAAATGGGGCCATGGGCCTTTTCTGCTAATGCACTGCTCTTACGTGAAGCTTTCAGCATTGCTCACGCTATAAGTGCCACTGTAGGTTTGTTTACTTTGCCTTTGTGGAAGTAATGGGATTTAATTGCACTTAAGCACGACACATTTCACCGGCTGCACGCAAACACCTGCTCAGATCAATTCATTTTAGTCACTTAACCCATTATGTCCGCCTCAGTCATATAATTCACCTTTTGGCCCCTCGGTGATCTTTGGTGTTATGTGCGACACACATTTAAATTTTACCACACAACGTCAAGCGATCTCACTGGCCACTGCAATAAAATTACAGTTTTTTGGTGATAATGTGGATAAAATAACTTAAATGTTGGGTTTTGGTTCCTGTTATGCTTCTGTCTGCAATTTCTCCACATCTCGATGGTTCGAAAACAAGCTAATTTCTGCTGAATGAAAGTAAAGAATTGTTTCAGCAGATCTTTTTTCTCCATCAGCTCATTTGGCCGCTTTCAAAGTCAGGTTGGCTGTACTGGTGGAAATAAAAGATATGCAACAGAGTTAAAAACTGGTTTAAAGAGACAAAAACCCTGGTTCCTCTTGAAGACTGTAAATGATAAATAGTTTGGATCGTTAGCTTGAGAATCGAAAATAAGATGGGATTTGATTCCACTGTAACGCTGCAGCGCTGCTCAAGACTCACCGGTACGACAACCTCGCAAGGTTGGATAAAAATGTTCAAGAACAAACCTTAAAAAACTAAAAGAAATGTTTTTGGCACCTAAAAATTTTACATTAAAAGTTCAATTTAATTCAAGCGTGAAATCTTGGTGTAGTTATTGGACTCCAAGAAAAACATGCATTATCATTTTCTGTGCGTTAGACGACTGCAGTTCATCAAGTCCTCACTGACACCAGGAAAGTAGAGCACATAACACTGCTCCTTTAATCACTGCACTCGCTTCCTGTGGGTCAGTGGACAAACTTTCAAATCCCATTACTTGTCTATTAAACACTAAATGTTCTCTGGCCTAAATAAATCTCTGATATATTTGTACATGGTGAAGCATCCAGAGCCCTCAGGTCATCTGGAGCAGGTTTATTCACTGACAGCAGAATCAAAACGGGAGTGAAGCAGCTTTCAGTTTCTATGCTCCTCGTGTAGAACAAGCTTCGTTAAGAACCTGAAGTCAGCTGAAACTGTTGCTCCTTTAAAACACTCATGTTTTCAGTGGCATTCGCAACCTTCTTTAATATTTAACTAGGTGTTCTCATCATTGTGATTTTTAAATTTAGTTTTAATGTGCTCTTTATTCTTATTTAAATTTTTTTACATAATTCTTTGTCTCTGTGAAGCAATTGGAATTGCCTTGTTTGTATTGTCTTTTTAAAAATATATATTTCCATGCCTCTACAAAGCACGTTGAACTGCCTTGAGTCTGAATGGTGGCCTACGAATAAACTTGCTTCGTCCAGGAGCGGAAAACAGGGACATCTTTTTAAGATGGGGGGATAACAAATGTTTGCTGAGGTAATAAATTAAACCAGTGGAAAACCAGGCACACACATGGGCATTTACTCACAGGCAAAAACCATAACATTCACTAGAAGGCTGTCAACAGCAAAGCACAAGATGGTTATTACAGAAGCCACCCTTAAAAAGCAGATCAAACTCTGCCAGCCTATTGCAGTGCTTATTAAGGTGTTTATTGTCACAGCTCCTTTAAATGAGGACCACTTCATTCATCAGATCGAGACGCTCACTGCATTTCTGTGTACTCTCAAAAAACGTGGGGATGAGGCCGCGGCTGGAAACCCACAAAAAGCAGAGATCTCTCTGAACTCGCTGGACGCGGAGTTTCATATTCGCTTCAGAGAATGAGGGATCTTCATTGTCGCATGTGGTGCATGAGTGCTGTTAAATAGAGACTTACTCACATTAAGTATTTAACCTCTGGTGATTTTCGTCCGTGTGCATGAAGTCACCTGCACGGTGCATGAGGACTCGATCCTGAAGACTTTGATAAGTGTCCAAGGTTAGGGATCAAAAGTCCAGGTCCATCATGGGCGGACAGACAGCAGGAGGACGTCAGACACGTCCCTGAGTCTGCTGAATCCGCCTGTCCTCCAAGCAGCGACAGACCCACATGGACACCACCTCTGCATTACCGTCATTATACTGTACGATGAAGGAATGCTCCTTAAAAGTGGAGAGAAAGACCTGAAATCAGTTTTATTTAACAAAAACAACTGACACTGAACATATTATGCTCATATGGCTCATAATTTAAATGTGTGTTATTAATTATTAAATTATTTACCAAATAAAAACCAAGTCAAGTTGAGTTGCAGGTTGAGTTTGGTGATAATGAACCTGAACTTCCTGGTACTTAGATCTAATCTGTACCTTATACCTTTTTCAATTCATTTAATGAAATGTGTCTTTTTTAAGTTAAATCATTTTACTATTTCAAAAGTACAGATAATGATTCACGTAATATGAATGAATCTCTCTCGGCACTTATCTTATTCCATAAATGACCTTCAAAATAAATGTCATCTATGCCAAAAATGAACGGAAGTAGCAGTAAAACACAAGTAATGAGATTTCTCATAAAAACTGAGAAATGTATATTTTAACGGCCATCACAAAATGTTTATACCTATTGTGCAATATTATTTTTATTATCAAACAGATTGGAGCCACAAACATTATTACACTGCCGTATGACGCGTGTTGTTCAGTTTCTTACTTGTATAATTATTCTAAATCTTGATTCCAGAAATAATAATAAAATACACATAACCTCAACAGGAACATCATTAAACCGTCTTAAATATTAACGACCAACAGATTTTGTTTTAAATGCAGAACGTTTAAGTAATGGGTTATCAGGGCGTTTTGAAGAAATATCTTCGGAGTTTAATGATCGACATGAGTCATAACAGATCGTAAAACTGGCTCAGTGATAAAACGCAGCAGTGGCACTAACTAACTTTGTCAAAATCCAAATAGCAATATTTCGAATAATTTCTCAATGACCCACAAACAAATACAATCGATTAATTTGATTGATTTCGATCGACAGTGCCGATAATGGAGCTCTTGAAACCCCACGGTCAGTCTGCTGATTGGTAGCTCATCAAGTTTGTTAACCGCCGCAGCGTTCACTTGTTACCGCTGCACCGCTTAAAGAGAGATGTCACATGTGATATCTCAATGACAACACTTCCAATCACCAGCCTCATCTGGGGGGGCTTTCCAGACCAGAGCCGGGGGTCACAGAGGTCACAGAGGGCAGCCAGGGGTGATAGGGGCGGAGCCTACAAATGAGACAAACCGACCGAGGCTGACCATGAATTTTATTTGCGGTGTCTCGATGTCCAATTAGATAAACAAGCCTGCAGCTGGCCAGTTCAAATGAACATGTCAACAACGATTTCAACGATATCGGTGCCTAACAACAAGAGACCGTCACTGTTGTACACTGTTAACAGGAGCTCAGCTCTAAGTGACAGATTAGGCTCCACAGAGGCGTTCATGGACAAAGACTTTTCCTGGGGTGTTGAGGGTCACTAACTGGAACAAGAGCCATAAATCGTCCGGGCTGACGCAGTTTCTAGGACGATCTCCGCTCACACCACATGTATCGATATTGTTCTATTGCACGTGTCAGCCAATCAGCAACAAATGCCTCGAATACAGAAAAGTCAAATATATGAACATGACGACTTTCAAATGAATTTTGCTTTTGAAAGGCTTTCAGTCAGTTGCAAATGAGCAAACCTTATGAACACGAAAAGCATGTCGCACTACAACAGTGGCATAGTTTGACTCACACCTGACGTAGAAAGTGACTCCAAGGTGAGCAGAGTTGTTGTCAGCTGTTTCTTCTGGGGTCAGACAATGTTAAATGCCCCCAAGCATCATGCAAACTGGTGCAGACAATGTAAGATTAGCAACAAAGTAGGACAGACCCAGTACTGACGGTTCACTCTTCCCCTCCTGAGATCCTCCTCGTCTATTTGCAGTTGCACAGAAAAATATGATAAACTGAAGATCGAGTGTATAAAATGAAATCACACGAGAGATCAACATGTTTTTAGGTTTTTGTATTATTAAGATTCTTTCATAAAAACCTATTGAAATGAAGAAGCTGGCCTATCGTTTGACTTCCCAGCTCACTGCTGTAACTTTTGAGTGTTCACCACACGTGTGTTGTAATTTGATGTTTCAGAGGAAAACGACAACACATTCCAGCGTTTTCTAATCCTGCACAAACTGTAGAGATTGTGAAGGACCGGGGGGGAGCCCCATCAATCCTGTTGTCCTTCTAATGGGCAGCTGGGGTTAACACAGTCTGAGGTTAATTACTCTCATATCTGTGTGTGCGTGTGTGTGTGTCTGTATGCAAGTGTGGAGTGGACGCTCCTGGGTGCCTCAATGTGCTGAATACCCATCTCATCCATCATTCTTCTTTGCCTCAGTAGAGCGCGAGTGATACAGAAATAAAGAAGGAAGTCCGGAGTGATTTTTTTTTTTTTTTTAAGCGCTCCACCTCTGCTCCAGAAATTAACCCTGACAGGCCGGAGACATCCACTGAAATTTGACCTGGATGAAGGTGTGTGTCTCATCACACCAGACAAACACGCATAAACACATTCATGCAGACAGAACCTTTTTCTACTGGAAGTAATTTTGTCAAAATAAACTTAATTGTTCACAGTCCATATTTCCTTCAGATGAATTACTAAATCACACATAAAGTCACTAATAACAAGAAGCAACAAGATATATATATAAGAAATATATATGTATATTTTGACTAAACAGTCCTGTCGTACCTGACTATTTAACTCCTGTATAACCAAGCAATATTTACTCTTTCTGTGTCATAGGTCACATGTCTAAACTACTAGTCAAGTTTTAGAACTCTAAAAGCTGCTCAAGTCCAGTGAATAAACTTAAATTGTACAAAGGAAAGAACCAAACTGCAAATGCATTAAAAATCAAATCACGCCTACACGCCTATTAATAAAATGTCCTGCTACTGTAAGTATGAAATGTAAAAGTACTAAACAGAGTAAATAACTGCTCCTTGTTGTGTCACTGAACATGTTCTGACTTTCTGCTGAAGCAGTGTGTGGACAGAGGTGAGACGGGAGAAACACTCATTTAAAAGTTACATTAATCACCGTCTGGCCACATCAAAATGGGATAATCACCTGAAACTACTCTGCTCAAATAGAAGCGGCCAGAAACCCAGGGGAAATTCTACCTAACTCTTTAATTGTTTGAAGCCTTTGAAGGGTCTGTTTAATCGAAGATTAATTTATGCAATTTTAAATAACACTACGTATGATTAATACCCTCAGAAGAAATTAAAAGCAGTTTGAGGCAATTATAACAAGAGACTGGTCACCACCTCATTAGAATAATGTTAGAAGAAACATGGTGTGTGTGTGTGTGTGTGTGTGTGTGTGTGTGAGTGAGTGAGACAGAGAAGAGGGTGAGGAGGTAGATAGAATAACTAGGGCTTTACTGATTTACATGCTAATCACTGGCTCCCTCTGGAAACTGGTCGCGACTGGGTGGTGTGTGTGGGTATGAGTATAGAAATTAGTGCTCAGGGAAACTTCTCTTACAGGTATTTCAACTGTGTTTATCTTACACCTGAAAAAATAAACCTTGTTTTGATAAAATCAAGGATACTGGATTTTAAAAAATGAATTTGTTATCCCAAAATTGAATTTCTCCAGGATTCAAACATTGAGGGATGTTATTTGGACTCCTGCTATCATTCAAAATGTCGTGACTGAACAGGTGCTCAGCAGTAGTAGTCCCAGGATGTGTGAATGGGGTTCATGTCAATGAAGACCCAAGGGTGAAATGTGAAAACATTTGGCAACAAAAAGGAAAGTTTAGGGGGGAGGAGACACCAGTGTCAAACCCAAAAAAAGCTGCAAGGATACACAAGTGTGACTGTGAAAATCCTTTTTGCACATGTAGCGACGTTAACGTTAACAAACCAATTCCTCAGACACCAACACTGCTTCCAAAGTTTGAGTCAGTTAGATAATTGTCAATGACACAATCTTCTGCCCAGGAGTTTTTTAAGCTCAATACTGAAGTATCATAAAAAAAACTAACATGATATGAAAGCCAAACACAAAGGAAAGCTCCGTCACTGTTGAAGAAATCAGATTGCAAAAACTGCAAAGAAGAATAACAACCAGAATGATTTAAATGTGACGGTTACGCAACTGTTCCAGGTCTGTCCATCTCTCTTCATTTTTCTCCACTCACTCCAAACCGGTCAAGGCAGATGGCCGCCCACATGGAGTCCGGTTCTGCTTGAGGTTTCTTTCTGTTAAAATTGAGTTTTTTCTCTCCACAGTCACCAAAGTGCTTACTTGTTGTGGAAACTATTGAGTTTTTCTAAGATGTTGTAAAGTTTTAACTTTATAAATCGCCTGAGATACTGGATGTTGTTATTTTTTGCGGTATACAAATAAAAGTGAATTGAACCAACTGCGTTCTTCATCCAAGATGGAAATTTTAACTAAATATAAGGACAAATATGTCACTTTATCAACAGTCCACATTACGTCTCATGTCATACATGCATCACTAAGTCAGTCCGTCAGTAGAGGACATCAAAAGAAAGAAAAAACTATGACACTAAATAAACTACACAGATAACTGGTGTCGACATGTCATGATGACTGAATAAAAATGAAGGGAATTATTTATGTTAACTATTTGTTAGAAACAAACATCCAGTTTATGATACTGGATCTATCAGTGGTCAAAACTGTGTGTGTGTGTGTGTGTGTGTGTGTGTGTGTGTGTGTGTGAACAGTCGGAGACAGGAGGGCTTCCTTTGTGAAAAACCGAGGGACTCATCTGGTGTCTCCAGGGTTGAAAAGGGGGCGAGGGAATTTGTGCGCGTGTCTGTGTGTGCATATGAATAGAAAAGCAGAATAGGAGCGCTGCATTGACAAGGGTGCTAAAAGGCTGTTTGAAGGCTGCTGGCTGGGGCGCGAGGGATGACGAGGGAGAGGGAGGGGGAGGGAGAAATGAAATGTCCATCAAATCACAATCAAAGAATATAAGGGTGAGGGGGCCATCACTGTTGTTCTTCTTCTCTCGTACATAAATCAGGATAACCTGAGAACATATATCAAATGTTTGCGTCA